GCTTTGTTTAGGGAGAAGCCAGTCCTAACGAGCAGCGTGTCTCAAGTCTTGTTAACATGCAGATGGCTCTGACTCTAGGTCGAGGTGGAGCTTGAGATTTTGCATTTCTCACAGAGATGTCTGTGCTGCTGGCCACGAACCACACTTTGAGTAGCAAGGATTCAGAATATTCAGGGTACGGATTTCTTATTTGGGAGCAAGGAAGAGATTAATGCAAGGCTTTGGATGAATCCTAAATTTCCTGGTGCTAATATTCACCAGAACACTTTGTTAAATGTCTGTGATAGGAAGACTTCTAAGAACCACCCTGGCTGGCATGGCTCAGTGGCTAGAGCATCGGCCTGGGGACTGAAGGGTCTCTGGTTCGATTCCAGCCAAGGGCACGTACCTCAGTTGCAGGCTCGATCTCCACCCCGGTCAGGGTGCGTGTGGGAGGCAACCAATCGATGTGTTTCTCTCACATCGATGTTTCTCTCTCTCTTTCTCTCCCTTCCACTCTCTCTGAAAAGCAATGGAAAAAATGTCCTCGGATGAGAGTTAAAAAGCAAGATGACTCCCAGTGATCCATGGCCTTGTGCAAGTCCCTCCCCTTGAATGAAGGTGGGATACGTGAGCAGGACGGGGTGTCATTTCCATGATTAGCTTTCCTTCTGGGGAAAAGGTGAGGACCTTTTGCTGATGTAATTTATGGCCCCAGTCAGCTGACTTGATGCTAATAAAAAGGAAGACCATTCTGGGTGTGTCTGACAGGGCCAGTGGGCTCTTTGCCCGAAGGTTGAGAGGTTGGAGATGTGAAGCAGCATCTGGTATCTTCTAGGAGCTGGAGGGAGCAAGCGGTCGGGCTGTGGGGAGGGCCAGGGGCAGGAAATGGCCGGAGGCCTCGAGTTGCTAGGAGTGGCCTCCGCTGACAGCCAGCAAGGAAGGGGGGACCTTGGTTATAGAATTCGAAATGGACTTCTTTCAACAAGACGTGCACCTGGAACAGGACCCTGAGCTTTGATATCAGTCTGTGGCCCTGAGCAGAAACTCCAGCCAAGCTGAGGCCGGACATCTGCCCACAGCGCTGTGAGCTAATCAGTGGGTGTGGTTTGAAGTCCCTGAGTGTGTGGCAGTTGGCTACCTAGCAATAGAAAACAAATGTGATGCCCCAATTGTCCTCTGACTGTTGTGCATGCCAGTCCCAGTTAGTCTGCGGATGTAACATCTCAGTAGCTTAACACAAGAGTTTCGCTCATGCTCCATATTGTCATTGGTCCGCTGCTTCAGACTGTGATGGCTTGTCACAGCTTTTTAAAAAATATATATCTTTATTGACTTCAGAGAAAGGAAGGGAGAGGGAAAGAGAGATGGAAACATCAGTGATGAGAGAGTCATTAATCGGCTGCCTCCTGCACGCCCCTGCATGTGCCCTGACGAGGAATCGAACCTTGCTCTCTTGGATCATGGGCCCATGCTTAACCTCTGAGCCATGCCAGCCGAGCTCGTCATAGTTTTTTGGGGCCATTCACAGAAGAGAGCTTGCAGAGACCATCTGCTGGACGCAGAGAGTTTTGACACGAGTGCTGTGGTGAGAAGTAGGTGTCCCTCCTGTTTAACAGGAGGAGAAGCGCATTCAGGAACGAGCGACTGGATCCACGAGTAGAAGTAGACCTCAGCCTCCTAGCAGGATGGCCTGACCGCCCTATGTGACTGCTGTTGACAAACAAGGGCTCAGGGTTCACGGCGGCAGGAGACAAGGGCTGGGGGTAGGGCACCAGGAGAGAGATGGGTAGGCACGCCCTGTGACCCACGTCCTGTCCGTCCCGCTTACTTCTCATGGCTAACACCAGCCATGTGGCCATGCCTAACTTGAAGGGTGCAGAGAAACAAACTCCTGTGTGTACCCCAAAATAGAAAAGCTCCAGATATTGCTGAACAGGGTTCTCTCTGCCACATCGCGTTGCTCAGGAGGTCAGTTGGGTGGCGGGGGAGCAACCAGGGTTTCAGACGGCCAGCGTCAGGGAGCCAGGGAACAAACTGGCCGGCACGGAAAGCTGAGAGAAGACAGGGGCCAGGCCAGGGAATGCACACTTGCCCAGCCCCAGCGCAGAGCAGACGGTTTCTCGGGGGCACTCTGGGTCTGGGGGAAACCCAGCGAGCCGAGGCTGTCCTCAGGCTGAGCCGGGCTTTCCTGCAGCGTGGATTTCTGCAAACGCGCAGGTGAAATCACTCGGGCTCTACTGCGGGTGTGCGGGCTTGACGCCCACCTCTCTCACGGCGTGCTGGGCGCGGGGCTAGGGGGCCACGCTGTTTGGGTCGGCACCCTGTCCGGCGAGTGGAAGATGTCCTTCTAGCGTAAAATGAAATGCCACCTGTTTTGAGGATGTAATAATTTTGGAAGAAAATGTTTGTAAAATGTATGCAGCCTGATGAAAGTTTATACTCACTGAGATCAATGCCACCAAAGTGTGCCTTGGCTAACGCTTCTAACAGAGTCGCATTTGTCTCCTGAGGCCCCTTGTCATCAGGAAAAAGGAATTAATCCTACCAGTACATGCTATCCCCATCTTGGTGGCTCCAGTCTCCCTCTCTTGGAATCATTCAGTCTCTTCCAGGTGGGAGCTCAGTCTTTCAGAGTTTCTCAGCTCGCCCTTCTTCCAGCCGGGCAGGCATCTGGGTGTTGCGGAGCTGTGTCCCCAAGGCACGATGGGGACGGTGGCCAGTCCACACCTGCCAGCCGTGGGCCTTCACTGGCTTCCATGGAGATGCCCCGGACCTGGCTGCCATGGGTGTCCTGCTGAATCTGCTTCTGAGGTCTGTGGCTGGGAAAACCCATGGTCAGGCCGATGCTCTGGCTGGTGTGCCCCACTGTGTCCCTCAGGGGCTGCACAGGGCCTCTGCGTCGTGGCCGTGTGGTCATTCTCCCGCTCAGACTGGCCACCTGTGCAAGTGATGCTCTAAGTCCTTACCCAGCAGCGGGCTCAGCACCCACAAGCCAGAGCAGCGGCTGGAGCGAGGCCTGCGGGGAGCACCGGGAGGTCGCAGCAGCAGCGGGAGGAGAGCTCTGGGCCTCGGAGGGGCTTATTCACCGGCTGGCAAGCGCGCGGCCCCGTGGGCCACAGGGCTCCCCAGGGGCTGAGCACCCGCCCGCAGCGCAGGCGGCCTCGCTTCGTCACGCAGCCGGTGTCAGCCAGGCCTGCTCATCTCCCACCCCCACGAAGGCCCTTTCCCGTCGGGGGGAGCTGAGGCGAGCAGGGGGCTGACCTTAGACCCTCTGCCGCCTCCCGTGGCCTCCTGGTCACGGCTCCTTATTTACCCCAGTGGGGCCTCAGGGATCAGGCTAAAGCGAAGCACAGGAGCCTCTGCTCCCAGCTCCCCTCGTCCGCTTTCGTGCGTTGCACTCGGTTTCTACCCGAGGAGGGGAAGGACCTGCCTGCTTCCTCGTCAGCTTCCCTCCCTCCGCTTCCCCTGCTGCCGGTGGATTCCCCGACGTCATCGCCACTTCCCCCCCTCCCTCTCGGCGGGCGGCCTGTGTCTTCCCCTTTCCTGGGGACATCGGCAGAAGCAGGAAGGGAACCCAGGGGCGGCGGCGACACTGTTACCCCGACGCGGGCTCTGCGCTGTCCCCTCCTGGAGGCAGAGGCTCTGAACGGACCTTCCGCTCTTCTCCTGGCTCAGGGCTCATGACCGGCACTGGTTGTGTGCTGACCCCCTGACCCCCAGGGGGCACAGTGAGCGGGGCCTGTGTCAGCCCTTAAGGCCCCTGGGTCCTGTATGCTTTGGTTCTTGCTCCTGTCCTGACAGTGTTTCTGTCTCCCGCTGCGGGTGGGTTAGCGGCCGCTTCCTCTGCGCGGTCTTCCGGCCTCTCCCATTCCCACCTGCGGCCCCTGAGCTCTCCGCTCACCCCCTGCTGCATAACAACCGCCCCAAGGGGGTGGCTTCAGCAGACGGTTAATCCTCACTCACATCCTGCGCGCATGGCCTGGAGCGGGGCTTGGCTCGGCCATGTTTCCACTCCAGGGGTGCTCTGAGCTCAACAGCGGTTCTCAGCTGGACCGTCGGAGGCGGCCGCGCAGGGCTGGTCCTTGAGGGGAGTTTGGTGAGACCGTGCACAGGTGGACTGTCACCCGACTCCTACATGAGGTGGCCCTTGCAACGCGGTCCCAGGGTCTTTGGACGGTCCGCAGGTGGCTGGTCTCCCTCAGCGTGAAGGCCCCAGGAAAGCAGGCAGAGCTGCGTGGCTTTTTCTGACTTCGCTCCTGAGCTCGCTGGCCTCTCTCTGTCGTTTGGCTCGAGCCACCGGCCGGCACTCCGGGGAGGGGGCTGGAGTCCACCTTTGGTGACAGGGTGGCGCAGTCACAGAGCAGAAGGCCATGGGGGTGGGGAATATTGCCGTGGTGTCTTTAGAAAGTCCAGAGGGCCACTCTGAGAACTGGAGCCACGCTCATGACCAAAGAAGGAGGGGTCTGCAGGAGGCCTTCGACCTCTCCTGTGAGTGGGGCACACGCCTTGGTGCCAGAGCCCTGCTGGTTACTTTCTGCTGTTCAGATCTTTTGTCTTTGTTTCCTTCGTCTGTGGTGCAGTTTAAATGGGCCAGTTTTCTGGATCGTGGATAAATCCAACGCCTGAGGTGCTGCCACATTCAGGTCACGAGAGGCGGATGCGTCACTGGGGTCAAAGGGTGTGCTCTGCTCACCACGCCTCCTGCGCACACAGTGCAGAGTCGGGGCGAATTAACATTCCCAGGGAGCCCCACAAGCTGGAACTCCAGTACTCGGGGGACTCGGAGGGCTTGAGCCCCAGCTCTGCCATCTGCTGTCTTGTGAGTGGCCCCACAGAGTGGGTGTCTGAGTAAGCCCCTGGCTCCCCGCTTCAGGCATGGAAGCTGCGCTCAGGACTGAGGACTAAGTTCAAGTCCAGACGGCCGAGAGCCCTGGGTTCTACACCTCGGAGTGTGGCAACTCCCAGCGGCCCAGCCCTTGTCTTTTAAAGATGAAGAAACTGTGACCCAGATTGAGTAAATGCCCAGGTGGCTTGCCCGGCCACAAAGCTAGGTCTCAGGGTGAAGGCGGGGGTCCAGCCTCCCGCCCTTTGTCACTGAATGAAAGCTTCAGAATTCCAGCGTAGGCTCTGGATGTGCGTGTGTGTGCGTGTGTGTGTTTACATGCTAAACATCCTTCTGTAACACGGATGTGTACAGGCTTAATGATCCCAGGAGGAAAGGTGGCACAGCTTTCTAGTACAGTGATGCTGTCAGCTGAGTGATTCACTGTGATCGCAGAAAGGGGAGTTGGCCGGAACGCAGGCGGTGGAAGCGCTGGCTGCTCACCAGGCCCCCTCGCCGCGCGTGCTCCAGGAATTTACTTACTCCCTGAGTTTCGGGGCTGCTTCTGTGAAACGCTGAGAGCGACGGCTTGTGGCGTGCTCTCTCTGCCAGCTCTGCGTTCACCTCTTTGCGTATCACATGCCGTCTGCCTCCTGGGATGCATGTCGGGCCACAGCCACCTCACAGAGCAGCAGCCTGAGCCTCACAGAGGCCACACAGTCGGCCTGCGGTCACGGCAGGCAGGCGGCGCTCCTGGCTTCCTCCCTCAGGCTCTAGTCGGCCTCTGCAGTCCACGTGCCCTCCGGGACGCTCCCCTGCACAGGCTCCCTAAGTTTCAGGACTCCTGGGAGACGCAGACTTCTGAGCTGCCCCTCGGGTGGAAGCTGTCCAATGGGTAGAGCTTACGGGGAGGCAGGTTTGTATTTCGAAGCGCCAGAGGAGTTTTTGATCCTGAGTACTCATGAAGACGTGCAGCGTCCCTCTGAGGAGGAGCAGCTGGGCAGCTGTGGAGGATGCTGGGCCTGGGAAGGCTGTTTGGTGAGCGCCTCCAGCCCCTGATGGCCTACAGAGCAGAGGGTGAGAACCCACAGCGAGGGCTGTGTAGACTCAGGCTTACACCCGGCGCTGTCCGGCCACCCGCTCCGTGGCCTGCGGTAAGCGACTGAAGCATCGAGGCTATTTCCACGCCTTCATGCTTGAAGGGGGAGGCTGCGCTCACCAGGCGCATGAGTCCTGCCCCTGGAGTTGCTCAGAGCAGCGAACCCCTCTTACCCAAACGCCCGCCGGGGGCTCTGAATAGCTCAGGCTTAATGGGGATACAGCATGTGACCAGAGGACTTGGGTGAGTGGGACCACAAGCCGAGTTGTTTTCCTGAAACTCCTAGTCAGTGGTGTTAGGGAATAAGCTGGACAAGGCCCAAAGGTTGACAGGGATGGTTTTCGGGGATAAGATGCTTGCTGGCAGGAAGTAAAATGCAAGGAGAGTGGGTACCCCTGGTGAGCCAAGTCTTGACCTCTTCAGGCTTTTCCTTTGGTTCACCCCATGTGGCCCATGCTCTGCTCTGCCGGGCCCAGGGAGCCAGCTGTCCCCTCAGGCCCCACCAGGCCAAGGACATCAGGCCGCTGTCCCGGGCCTGGCGGGCCAACCGCACAGTCCCGCCATGCTGCTCTGGGGTGGGTGGCGGAACTAGCTTCTACCTTTTCTAAAGAACTGAAGTAGCTTACGGATGACCTATTAGGAGTTCTGCTTTGAGCCAGGACAATTTTCAACCAAAGCTGCCTCCAAGCTGCTCCACATCTTTCGCTAGAGGATCTTCCCTCCCCCCAAACTCCCACCGTTCTGTGCCTTCCGGAGACTCGGTTCAAAATGCCTCTTATTTTGCTTTCCTTTCGCATTTAAAAACATTTCCCAAGCTTAACTCTGATGTAAATATTTGTTTTGCCCACGTGTTTCAGGTTATACCACATGCCTGAAGCAGCACGTTTGGGTTTTCAGGAGTTGACTCTACCGGCTGGAGGTGACTAAGAGCTGTCTGACCCCATGAATATGCAGGACCTGCCGCCTGTGTTTGGATGACTGTGGCCCTGATTCAGGGTTTTTAGACACAGTTGTTTAAACACTTTCAGAAAGAAGGTGAAGCCAGAAATAAAGGCAACGTAACTCCCTGACCCCCGGCTCGTGCCGCGAGCTCTGCCCCTCACCCCATCCCTCCTGCCTTCAGCTCTTCATGCATTTTGGTCTTTTTAAAATTTTTTATTCCTGGCCCTGCTTTTCTCATCCTGTTCCTCTGTGTTCTTACACTGGGTGTGGAGAGACATGGTTATTTGACAAAAACAAAGCAAACAAACAAAGAAACACACAAGGGCAGAATGTAACGGAAACACTGGGGGCAGAGCTGCCCTTCCCTCAGCCTCCCTTCCCGGAGGCGTCCGGCCAGAGTCCAGCAGAAAGGTGGACCGTCCGTAATTTAAAGGCAGTCTGGGGAAAGCGGGCCGGAGAACAGCGCTTCGCTGCAAACCTCTGCAAAGCAAGTTATTTTCCCTCTGGGCCTGCCAAAGGCTCCGTTCCCCAGCCCGGCACTCGGGTTCCAGCCTTTCCCTGACCAACAGCCCCTGCGACGCGTCTGTGGCTCAGCTGCCTGAAGCCCCCTCCTGGAAAGGTCAGTAAAGCAGCTATTTTTGCCAAAGTCCCCGGAGAGGAGCCCAGACAGTTCTCTTGGCTGGGGGCCTGGGGGGGGGCAGTTACTTGAGGAGGACATTTTAGAGTTTTGCTTTACTGGATAAGATCCTTGTTGAAACATCTCTATGTCTAACCCTGACCAGATGTGGGATCTTGAGAACAGGGTCAACGTCCGACTCGCTTCCATCGCCAGGAAAGGAAGTGACAGGACGGGATTCCTCTGGGTTCCTGCAGCTCTGCAGCTCTGAGCCGGAGCCCCACCTGCCCCTGAGGATGCAGCCTGGCTTTCTGGTGGAAAATAATTTAAACCTGGCCCCAAGCCCTCACCTAGTCCCAGGCTACGCCTGAACCTGCGTCCCAGGGGAGCTCCTCCTGCCCGTGGTCAAAGGGACTTTTTAGAGTCGCCCGTCAGACACTTGAGCGTCGGAACGACGGCCACTATGGACACGGCGCCTGTCAGCGCCCGGCCGGGCTTCCCACCCCAGGTCCTTCTTCTAAACTCTGAAAAGTCAGCATGTTGGGGCTGGGTTCGCTGTGCAGGACGGAAACCCGAGCACGTGACCGAAGGAAGTCGGGGAGGGGCCGCTCCACGCAGCCGCGGTCCTGTCGCCGGCCCGGCCGGCGCGGGAACCCCGCCCTCGCGTCCTGCCCGAGGCAGCAGGAGGGAGCGTGGCGACCACGCGTTTCCACTTACGTTTCCTCACCCCAGTTCTGTGGAGTTGCCACTGCTAGTTGCCAGGGAGGGTGGGAAGCGCGGCCTTGGTGCGGGACGGTGCTTGGTTTGCTTAGAGCCTGCTGGCTCTGCCGCCGGAAGCAGCGGGGACAGGTGCTGGGGGGACACGGCAGCGTCTGTCACAGAAACTGCGTTTTTTGAAGTGTGAAGGCTGTGGGCTCCCTAGTCCTGGGTGTAATCTTCACCCTCTGCTCACCAGCTGTAAGGTGTTGACCAGGACACTTAACCTCTGTAATCTCCTCTATATTATCTGCGAAACTGGCACAGCAGTCTCATCATGGGGGTAAAATAAAAGAACACAAGCTCAGAGTTTAGCGCAATAGCTGCCACTGTTACGTCGTTGACCTCATTCCTTTATCAGGGTGCGTGGTGCTGATTGTACCTGGTGTGTGTCACTCCTGCTTCTTCCACATCCTTGCCAGAGAACCCGTGAGTCTGGCTGAGACCAGTCCAGTGGGGACGTGAGCAGCTAGTGAGTGTCCAAAGGCACAGCAACTGGGTCAGGGCCGCTGTCACCTTTTGCTATCCAAGGCCCCATGAGCCTGAGGGTGGGGTCAGAGGTAAGTTTCAGGAATAGTTATGGTTCAGAAACGGAAGGAGAGGAGTGTCGGGGAGACAGCCCCGAGGCAGACACCCTGCCTAGGGGAGAACCTCACTGCCACCCTGGCTCCCCATCACTAGAGTGGAGGTCAGACTGCGGCTCTGAGGCTGCGCCTCCGGATGGTCCCGCTGACGAGGGAGGGTCCTGCCTGCAGGGCCAGGGCCATGCCTCAGCTGGACAACCCTCCCTCGCCGGCGAAGAACCATCTGGGTTCACTGTGAGCCACTTAGAATCATTTCTGTTCCAGGAACAGGGAACAAGCCTACTCCTTCAAGGAAGCTGGGGGAGGGTGGAGAAGGGATTTTTTTCTAGATTTACTCCTCACTCCCAACATTCTAGCAGAGCTCAGTCATAAATATTGCCTGGTCCCCCTGGGACTGGGCTTGGTTAGGCCGTGAAGGCTGTGAATAAGCCCAGCCTCTGCCCTCAAGGCTGCCCCCGCCCGTGGGGAGCCAGACAGGAAGCAGGAATGGTAGATGGCACGACTGCTCCCAGGCCTTGCCCTCCTGGTGCAGCGTTGCTGCTCCTCCCACCAGAGGCGGGCCGGTTCCCCACCCCAGTGATGGCAGGATTGGCACGGGACTGGCTTTGACAGTGGGATGTGGGCGGACTGGAGCGAGCTAATTCTGAGCAAGGCCGTGGGTACCTTGCCCGCATTGCTTGCATTTTGCCATCACATGAGAAGGTCACCTCCCAGGAAGACACTGGTCCGGGACGGTGAGAGACATGCGGAGCGGACTTGGGCGCCATCGGAAGCTCGGAGCCTACACTGGGTCAGTTGGCCGCCATCCGACCCGCAGGCTTGGCTTGCTGCTGTAGCTGGTTTGTTAGCAGCAGGTGGCACTGGCCGTGGTACCCCAGGCGGCTGTGGTGTGGAGGGGGAGGGACCCCGGGGAGCTCAGAGGCTTCTGATCATCTCGGGGACGTTCGTGGGGGGCGGGTTTCGTGAGCTGAGTACATCATTCGCTTTTTGGGCCTCATTTTTCCTTTCTCTGGAATGTTCTACACCAGAGAGTTAGCGGTGTGTGGACTCCCTCAGCGTCTATCAGACTGTATGTAAAATAAGAGTTAATCCTCAAGGATGACGCCTATAGGGCCCTAGGAAGAGTTCTCTGACCAGCATATGAGGACCTTTTGACTTGCAGCGATTCATTCACTCATTAAGTCACTCAACAAATAGGAGGTAGGGATGTAACTGGATAAAATAAAGTGGGGTCCTTGCGCACATAGAGCTCCCCTTTCAGCGAGAGGAGACACGCCGGCTGTGGAGCAGGGAGGGACGATAGGAAGAACTGGGCCAGAAGGGTGGCGCCGTTACCCAGGAAGGCTCGGGAAGACCTCACCAAGAGGGACGTTCCAGCCAAGACCTGAGAGGAGGGGCCCTGAGCAGCGGCCTTAGCTGGGGAAGGAGCACCGCAGGCCGGTGCAGGGAGGGCCAGGCGCTTAGGAGACAGGGCTCAGCTGAAGGAAGGACGCCCCAGCCCCGGCCCCCCGGGAGCATGTCGTGGCTGCAGTGTAGAGGAGCAAATCTCCAGATTCTGAGTTGTCTTCTTAAAAAAATCCAGGCAAAAAGGTTTCTGTTATTAGGTGAAGCTTCTGGAACCTGTCCTGGGAGCATCGCGAAGGGATTCTCTCTTTGGATGGTCGTGGCTCCTGGTGACCCCTCTGTCTCCTCCTCTAGGCTACGAAGTGCGGGGCCCGAGGCGCGCACCCCGCGTGTCCCCCGGAGGCTGCCGGACACGGTGCTCATCCTGAGCCTGCTGATGGGCGTCTCTGCCTTCGCCACTCAGCCCGGGGAGCACACGGGTAAGAAGTGACGTTCAGCTGGAAAGGGCTTGCGGCAGCTTGGCTGGGAGGGCTGGTGTTTACCTAGGGAGGGGCTGCTGGCATCAGAACGTGAGGCGTGAGCTCCAGGGGAAGGTGGGGGGCACAGTGCACAGGGGTCACTGCCTGGTAGCAGGAGGAACTGGGCTCCGGGGCGGGCGGGCAGTCGAGTGTACCTGAGATCTGCACTGGTAACCAGTGTCACCTCAAGAAATATACTACAAAGAAAGCAAACGAAATGCGATACAGGCTCTCCTCTGGACACCCGCCCATCCTGCCCAAGGAGCAGCCCGGAAGTGGGGCCTCTGCCCGTGACCCAAGGTGCCTTCGGTATCTTCAATCCTCGCTCGAGGGTGCTTTTTCCATTGCTTTTCAGAGAGAGTGGCAGGGAAGGAGGGAGGGAGAGACAGGGATGTGAGAGCGACGCATCGATTGGCTGCCCCCCGCACACTCCGACCAGGGCCAGGGATCGCGCCTGCAACCGAGGTGCGTGCCCCGGAGCCGAACCTGGGACCCTTCAGCCCGCAGGCCGACGCTCTAACCACTGAGCACACCGGCCAGGGTGGTGCCTTTGGTTTTACTCACACATCCCGTCAGGACTAAGCTCTTTTTTGTGTTGAACTCAGCTAAGATCTACTTTAATAATGAGGAACTGGCCAGTGGAAAATATGGCCAAACGTTCTAATCTTTAATTTTTGACACCATGTGAACCCGATTTAACTTTCCCCAGAAAATGTGTAAATGGAGTTGATAGTAAAGCTCAAGTTGCTATTTAGGAGTTTTGAAGCCATTATCACGAGAGGGGTTCGGGGGTCCCCGAGAACGCCACGCTGTCGGGGGAAGGCTGCCTCTCCGGATGGGCCGTGGGCAGGAGGTGGGACCCGGCCTGACCGCAGTCTCTGTCCTCAGCGGCCGCAGGAAGTTGCCGATACCGGGGCCAGCACTTTAAGACCAGCTTCAAGGTGGAAGGGGAGCCCGTGGTCCTGAGGTGCCCCCAGGTGCGGTACTGGTTGGGGGCCTCCGCCAGCCCCCACGTCAACATGACGTGGCATAAAAACGGCTCTGCCAGGGCGATCCCGGAGAAGGAAGGCGCGCGCCTGTGGGTCCAGGACGGCGCGCTCTGGATTGTGCCGGCTGTGCGGGGGGACTCCGGCACCTACATCTGCACTGTCAGGTGAGGCCGTCTGGAGCGGGCGGGTTCTTCAGGGGCGGCCTGGACGTTAGTCCAGTGTGCAGGTGAGAACCCATCCGTGTCCTCCCCTCCGGTCCTGAAACGCCTCCTGCGCGGAGCCGCCCCCAGGTGTCCCCACGGCCCCTCTCCCATCGCTTAAGTCTTTGCTCGGATGCCACCTCTTTAGCCCCGTATTTAGAACAGCACTCCTGTCACCCTCTCTCCTTGCCCCGCCGGAGCTTCCTGCGTCTGACACGTACCCGTGAGTCTGGTTAATGGTCGTCTGCCCCACCAGAGCGTAAACTCCGGTGCGACGGGGACCTGGTCTGCTTTGCTCACTGCCCAGCCCACAGGGGCACAGAGCAGGATGTGAGGCCTGAATGAAGTGTCGGAAACACTCCCACCGCTTATTCTGCACGCGCAGGAGCCGGGATGGCCTGTGAGGTTCTCCCAGGTGGCAGGCGTGGAGCTGGGGCTGCCTCCCGCGGTCTCGCTCCTCTCCCTCTGTCCTGCTGCTTTTCCCCTTAACTCTGGTAACATATGCAGAACATAAAATTTACCGTAATAATCCACTCAACCCTGCAAGTCAGTTAGGGACACACGCTGTTGCGTGACCCTCGCCACCATCCAGCTCCGGGCGCTTCATCACCCCGAACTGAAACTCTGCCCGGTTAAACGACAGCTTCCCATGCCCCGGCCCCGGCGGGCGCCGCTCTGCTCTGCTGCTGGCCGTCTGACCACGGGCCCGGTCACGCAGCAGCTGCCCTTGGGTGACGGCTTAGTTCTCCTGGTATAAGGTTTTCAAGTTCCACTCGTGTTGTACAATGTATGAGAATTTCACTTCTTTTTAAGACAATAACGTTCCGTTGTGCTATGGACCACATCTTGGTCACCTGTCATCTATCGACGGACACTTACGGTGCTTCTGCCTTTTGTGCTTGATGCCGTGGTGAACACGGGTGTGCACGTCTGTGGAATTGGTGGGTCACATGTAAATCGGTGGATTTTCCGGGGAGCCGTCATGCTGTTTTCCTCGGTGGCTCCACTGCCTCACATCCCCCTCAGTGCACAAGGCTCCACTTCCCCACGTCCGCCAACACTTACTATTTTCTGTTTTCTTGCTGATGTTTGTTGGTTTTGGGGAGGGGGTAGCAGAGCCGTCCTGATGGATATGAAGAGCTATGTCATTTGGTTTTGATTTGCATTGTCCTAATGACTAGCTGTGTTGAGCACCTTTCCATGCACTTTATTTGTGTATTTTCTTTGGAGAAATGTCTACTCAAGTCCTTTGCCCATTTTTAAATTGAGTTGTTTGTTTATTTGTTTTTGAATTACAGGAATTCTTTGTATATTCTGGATATTGCTCTCTTACCAGTTATATGATTGGCAAATATTTTCTTACATTCCATGGATTGCATTTTTACTCTGTTGATAATGTTCTTTAATGCACAGAAGTTTAAATTTTGATATAGTTCAATTTATCTATATTTTCTTTGGTTGCCTGTGCTTTTGATGTCTTATCGAAGATATCATCACTATATCTAATGTCATAAAGATTTTCCCCTGTGTTTTCTTCTAAGAATGAGCTCTTCTGTTAGATCTTTGTCCCATTTTGAGTTAAATTTTGTATATGGCGTAAAGGAATGGCCCAACTTCATTCTTTTGCATGTGGCTATCCAGTTTTTTTGAACACCGTTTGTTGGAAAGACTGTCCTTTCTCGGTTGAGTGGCTTTGGTCTGTCTTGCTGCTCATGGAGGAGACAGTTGTAGGTAGAATGGAGATCTTAAACTTTCCCTGGCTTGGTTCTTCTGAAAGGGTTAGGGCCTGGTTGGGAAATGGAGCTCCCGGCCTTCTCTGTAGCTGCTGACTGTGTCCCTCCTCAGGCCATACCCATTCCTCCCACCAGGCAGCTTAGAGTCTGTAGGTTTCATGAACACGTTTGCTTTAAGGAGAAGCCATATCATCAGCATTGACATTTAGAAAGAGAGAGAAGGAACGTGACATTCTTAAGGAACGTGACCATTACTGGTGAATGGGAGGATTTCAGACAACATCAGCCCCAGCCCTAGATTCCTAGATGGTGTGTGTGTGTGTTACTTTCTGTGACTGAGCCCTGCCTAGGAAGCAAGGCCAGCAAACTCTTATTTCTGTATCAGGGGGATATGGATGTGTGATTTTACAGCAGCTATAAACACATAGTTTTGTTTCCTTTCCGGTGCAAAAAATTATCTTTTTTTCCTAAGGAACACTGCTAGGAAAACCTAAAAGTGTGTTAGAAAAAGAATAAAACCTGGGGCCAGAGTGAAGGGGTGCGAGCGTGCACCCCTCATCTCCTGTCTTGGTCTGATTACTTGACAATTCCAGTCTTAGTTTTATCTTTATAAAGAGGTTTGTTGGGAGGGTTCTGTGAAATCAGAGCCTGGGAAACATCTAGTAAGGGGAGCACCGCAGCAGGTGGTCACCCGGCACGTGGAACTGCTCTTTCCCCCAAGGCAATGTTTATTGACCACTGAAGTGATAGCATGCAAAAATCAGGGAGACAGGCTGAGCCATGTTGGTCTAAAGATTGTTTTTATACTTCACTAAAAAGTTGTAGCTAATGTTCTTACTTTATTTTCCATTCCTTTAGAAGAGTAGTGACCTGGAATTGGGGGGCAGCGAAATCCGAATGTGGGTCAAGCTTTCAAGCTTGTAGAGAGATTACCTGGCTGGTCTCTAGGTTGGGTTCCTAGGGGCTGCAAGTCGCCAGAGTTGCCACAGTACCCTTTGGCATTTACAGCCAGAGGGTCAGAGAGGGCCCTGTCCTCTGACTTTTACAGCCTTGTGATCTAGAACCCAGAGGGCCTTTGTCAGCCAGAGTGGGGAAGGCTGCACTGCTGGATCACACGGCCTTCCCCAGCGGCTCCGAACAACACAGGCAGCCAGCCCGGGAGGGCAGCAGGCGCTCGGGGCCCAGACTGAATGCTGACCTTGCACCAAAAGGAAGCAAGTTCTGAAGGGTGTAGAAGTGACACACATCCCACCCCTTGACTAGAGTCGGTGGCTGCACCTCTCAGTGAGGCCAGGACGTGCAGCCCTACTGTGCGCTCAGGATGGGAGAATTGGGTGTGCGTAGTGAGCAACCCTGATGACTCCCATTGTGGGGATACCACACTGCATGGCCGAATTACTCCCCACCCCTCTTTCTGTTGGGTATTTCTATGGAGTATTTGCTCGAGGGGAACGACCAGATCGATAATGTGAAGAGGTCTGTAACTCTCAATATGTCTAGTGAGCTTGGTTTCTGGAGTTAGTGTCCTAACTTAAGGGTTTTCTCAGGGCCCTCCTGGGTTTCAACCTTGCTTTGACCTCTTAGCAGCTATGTAGCCTTAGGAATTACTCAGTCTCGGTATACCTAATTTTCCTCTGAAAATGAAATGAGAACAGGTGAAATAGTGCGTGCAGGGACCCAGACGGGCCGCCGCGCCTCCCCCTCGGCGACGGCCTCCACCCGCGCTCTGTCCTTTAGGCTTGTCCTCCTTTGCACGCAGCTCCTTGATTTGCGCTTTCCAAGGTGATAGTTAACTTTTTGTATTTCCTTGTGCATAAAATGTTTGTTCATCTCTTAGGTAGCTAGAAATTATAAAATTAGTTTTAGTGAACATCCTTTGTCTGTCCCCATTTCCTCCCTGTTTCTGGAAACGACTTACTGGTATTGTTTCCCCTGCCCTGGGGTGTGGGTAGCATTATGATGTTGAGATTACAGTTAGCCCAACCAAAAAAAAAATTAAATCCAAACAAACAAACTTAAGTTAATTTTCCCCATGCAGTATTGCAAAAATCTTTTCTAGATTTTATACGAAGTTCTCAGCAGTTTTCTGAAATTAGACTTTAGTTCATAAATGATTCCCCAGAGAAGTAAAGGGAATTCTCTTTATATGGAGACAGTAGCTCTTGGGAAACAGTTTCTTCATTTGGATCTGGGTCCCTGAACCAAGAAGTGGGCCCATTGCCCAAGGAGCCAAGAGCCTGGAGGGCTTAGGCCCCTCTGAAGGGGACTTGAGGATTTCTTAGTGGCCTTTGATGGTGTTGAAATCAGGCTTGTGAAGGGATGTTTGGGAAAAACTCAGAATATATCACCATTTCTATATAACATTTAGGATGTGGTGCTTTTTTTGTCCCCTAAGGATTCAAAAGGATCAGGGATAGAAGTATTACCATACTAATCAAGAAAATGCAGAATGTAGAATTTATTTAATGGGATTGGGGAACTTGCTCTTAATTTCACTTAGTTTTACCTTTATTTTTGCCTTGCCATTTATTACATTTTTCCCCTCTTAAATCAGAAACGCCTCTTACTGTGACGAAATGTCCATGGACCTCAGGGTGCTTGAGGACACAGAAGCTTCCTTGCCTGTCATCTCATACCCCCAAATCCTGACCTTCTCCACCTCGGGCTCCTTAGTCTGCCCTGAGCTGAGTGAATTCGCCCCTAACAAAACTGACATGAAGATTCAGTGGTACAAGGTACATCTTTAAAAACTGGCATTTAATTAAATTGTATTTTACTAGCCGTAGGAAAGATATAAAATGCCCCTTTTGAAGATAACATTCACTTTTGTATTTCTCTTTTTTTAAACAGTTAATTAAAAAGGACCATGATTAATATGCTCTATTAATCCTATGTGGCTTGGGTAAGGATCCGCAGAACAGTGATTGAGAATATGAAATAAATCCAGGGTAAATAACAGCTGAAAAAGACAGCTTTTGCTCCATTCTGTCTATTAAAACCCAGAAAGCAATTGTTGGTTAATTTAACCACTTTATGCACATATTAACTTTGGGTTAAAGGAGTAAACATAATTTCTTCTCTTGCTGGTCGAATACATACTGTCATCAGGTGATGCAGGCAGACCAGGTGTGGGCAATGCACAGCCCAGGGCCAAAAGGAGCCACCACCTGTTCTACAAGCTAAGGCTAGTTTTCATTTTTTTAAATGGTTAAAAAAAATAAAAGAATAACACTATTTTATGCCATGTGAATAATGTAAGACTCAAATTTCAGTGTTCTTAAGTAAAGTTTTACTAGGACCAGGCCACACTCGTTTGTTTTCACGCTGCAGCAGCAGAGCTGAGTATGGACAGAGGCCGTGCGGATTGCGGGCCTAGAACACTTAGCATCTGGCCCGTCACAGAAAAATTTACCTATCAAGGCCATAGACTGATATTGGAAAGTACAGTCATTTGTTTACTCATTGATAGAAATTAGCCCTGTAGTCAAGAATTAGGTCCATTTAAAAAACGCATGTGGAAATAATGAGACAAGTCTATATAACACTATGTCCTAACCTGTTTACCTGAAGCGTTGTTTATAATAGGACACGAGAAACAGGAAAGTTCACTACTAGGGATTGGTTAAGCTGATTTTCTCTCATGGGAACAGTGCACTATTACATAAGCACTTACAAAGAGGAGATAATTTTATATGTATCAACATAGAAGAAAAATACAACACTGCTATAGTTAAAAGACTTTAAGTGATATATGTTATATTTCCTAGTTATGTAAAAATATGGTTTAATATATTTAAAAATCTGGAGGAATATACATTGAAATAACATGGTGTTTTAAAAATATGTCTTTATTGATTTCAGAGAGAGGAAGGGAGAGAGAGAGAAACATTAATGATGAGAGTCATGGATCGGCTGGCTGCCTCCTGCACGGCCCCTGCTGGGAACCGACCTGCAACCTGGGCACGTGCCCTGGCTGGGAATCGAACCGCGAACCCCTGGATCCTAGGCTGATGCTCAACCGCTGAGCCACGCCGGCCGGGCCCCTTTCCATTTTTTATAAGTCAGTGTTACAGAGCGTTTTTATGTTGTGCTACTTTGCTAATCAGCAAAGGCATGAAAGGTATTTCCATAGTTAAGAGAAAAGGAAGTTAGGGACTTCCCTTCATTTAAGAAATACAAGTGATATTCTGCAATCTACATAAACCGAATTTTCTAGTATAATCTCAATCAACACTATGCATAATTTTGTCATAATTATTAAAATGTGCCTTTTCAGAAAAAAAATGTGTTAACCAGTTGACTGGTATCACAACTTCACGATATATGTAGTCTATCAATGAATGCTGGAAATGAAATGATTTTCTGAAAGTAGGAGAAAGCAGCCAGCCCGTGAAAGAGCCAGCCCCGTGAGGAGTGAATTCTCTCTTGGCTCGGGAAGGGTACGAAGGACTGTGCCTGCGGAGAGGGCACAGGCTCGGCAGCTCCTGGGGCCCGAAACCCTGGCTGTCTCGTTGAGCTGTGCGGCCGAGGCCAAGCTATTTCACCTCTTCAACCCGCTTCCTTTGCGAAGCGGTGACGAGCCATCCCTACCGCCGAGTCCTCGGGAACATCCGGAGTCCCGTGCGCGGGCTTGGCGTACGCCCGGAGCTCCATGAGCACGGCGGCGGGAGGCCCTGGTGGCGCCTAGTAATATTCGCCCCTTCCCGAGGATGCCAATCATCCCTGGGCGCGCTGGGCGCAGCGCTGCCCTAAACTCGCTGATCCGAAGCAGAAACTATCAATGTCTCTGTTTTACAGATTAGAAAACAAGGATACGCAGATGTAAGAACTTGCCCAGGGGCACACAGCAGAGAGCTGGTGAAGCCAAAGCTCTGGCCCGGGAGGCTCCCGACAGCACTGCCAGGCGGGCAGCCCTGGCTCCGGGCCGAGGGAGAAGGGTGGTGCTGGCCTCCTGGGCTCTTTTCACATTTGTCCACTCTTGTTAGGGATAATAATCTCTCTCCTTTTAATTAAATGTACTGAAAGTAAGACTTTGTGAGCCATGTGGAGCACAAACTCCCAGTTATGTCTGGGATCCCATTCAGAGTAAGAAGCTGAAATGACTCAAGGGTGCCTTTGACTCATTAAGGTTTCAGGCACATGGTTTTGAAAGAGCTGTTCCTGGAACAGTTTGTTCTCAGGATGTTTTCAGAATCCCTTCCAGCTTCTTCTGTGTTGTTGGAGGCCTTGCTCTTGAGGGCTCTGCTCTGCAGCACCTACCTGTCTTTTGTCCATGTGAACAGTGTGGCCTCATTTCTCTCAATTAGTTTTTTTACGTTTTTTTCCTACATCTCCACCTACTCCTAAAATTGAAATGACGTTTAAAGTAATTACACAACATTATCTCTTCTGAGCTTTGTTTTCCAAGTTCCCGCGGCTCTATAATAGGATTCTTCCCTGGGTTCTCCTGAGGTCCACAGGCAGCTGTCAGGCCATAAATATATTTGTATTTTATTTTATTTTTTATTTTTTAAAATATATCTTTATTGATCTCAGAGAGAGAAAAAGAGAGGGAGAGAGAGAGAAACATCAATGATGAGAGGGTCATTGATCGAGCCCGCAACCCGGGCATGTGCCCTGACCGGGAATCGAACCCTGATGGCCTGGATCCTAGGTCGATGCTCAACCTTTGAGCCACGCCCAGCCGGGCTATATTTGTATTTTAGATGGTTTATTTTGTCAAAGAAGAAAGGTGTCCCACCCCCCTCTTCCCCCAGTCCCCTGGTGCTTAAGCAAATGTGCTTTAAGCATGGTGCTTAAACAGATTCAGCAACTTTGTTTTCTGTGTTAACAAATTCCCTCTTCTAAAAAGAGTTAAAATTATGTCCAAAGTAGAACATTTGCAAAGTAAATAACAAGGCCATTTTTGGGTTGCAAATTCAACATTGATCGATAATACTGATCCCATTCACAGCTTTTGAGATAAAAATTAGTATATAGTGTAACTTTGAAAAACATTTTCCCTAAGGATTCTGTCCTTTTGGATCAAGACAACGAGAAGTTTCTAAGTGTGAGAGGAACGACTCACTTACTCATACAAAACGTGTCTGTGGAGGACGCCGGCTATTACAGCTGCGTCCTGACGTTTGCCCGCGGGGGCCTGCGGTACAACATCACCAGGAATATCAAACTGCGCGTCAACAGTAAGTGCTCGCCCTCAAGGCCCCTCTCTAGCGGGTCCGACAAGGGGCATGCAGAGAACAAATCGGGGCTCACGCAGAATTCCTCGAATGTCTTTGGTGTGAAAGGAAAACTCTCTTAAAACACCAGGCCAATAAGGCGTGTAAGACGCCTCATACGGTAGGAAGCAAGGTGTTATTCTGAGGAGGGGTGAATCCGGGGGTTCCAGGTCTGAGGCTAAAACGCACCACTAGAGGGGCCCAAACAGTGGTTCACTTGGAAGGCCCCGTGGGAAGGCTCGTGCCGCCAGGGCCAGCGTCAGAACACAGTGGCCATAGCTATGTGGAATGTAGGCTACTAGGTTTGATTGGATTTTTCAGTTAGAAGGCCATGCAGAGGCACACCCCGTGGAAATTGCCCCTGTCGTGTTCCCCAAGGCGTGGCTAGTTGCCCTTGAAGGCAGGATTCCAAATAGTGAGTGTCCTTCCTCACTGGCTGGAGTGCGTCCTGCGTGAGCAGCGCTGATTAGCACTCGCTGTGTTCAGCAGTAAGCCTGGCCTCCTACGTGCCAGCCCAAGGGTGTGTAAGTCCTGGGCTCTGCCCTGGAGAACAGACTGCTTTTCTTTATTTTATATACTAATAACTACACGACTGGAATCTTTTAAGGGCATTTCAGAGAGTTTTGGAAATATAGTAAGGTTAAATAATTGGTCTGTGAGGGGAAAAGACTAACTTTTTTTCTCGCAGAATCCAAAGTTTCAGGGAAAGTCGTGTCTCCCATGAAGTCAGATCGCTAGATTATACTTCATTTTTACTGTCTTGTGAGGATTCATTCATCTCACCTCGGTCCCCAAGGGGGCGCTGAGACTCCCGGCGTGTCCCGTTCATGTGCTTCTGCGCAGGAACACCAGGGGGCAGTCAGCCTGCATGCTCTGGAGGCAGGTCCCGGCCTCACCGCCTGGGGACTGGCTGGACCGCAGAACCTCAGGCCCCACCCCAGACCCGCTGAATTGGAAACAGGGCCCGGGAGTGAAGCTATCTGTGTTTAACAAGCGCCCCTGCCCCCCAGGTGACGCGATGTGCCCTCAAGTTTGAGACCCACTGGTGTATCAGGCCCTTGAAGCTTCTGTCCCCCGTCTGATGTCCCCAGCCTCTGAGTTGCAGCTGTGGGCCTAGGAGGGGAGGGCAGGGCTCCCCGTCACAGCTGAGAGGCCGCCTGCACTTGGAGCTCCGCGGCGACGCTGCCTAATGCTCACTCATAGAGGTTTCAAGTGCTCTTAAGTGGAAGGAGTGGGGCTGGAGCAAGTGGATGTGGGGATGGGCAGCCCTTTGCCCAGCCCCAAGCCGTTCTTTTTACTCCAATTCAGGTGCCCAGTTTCTTCAAGCTCCTGGGAGACCTGCCTCTTGGGGAACTGGGTTCTGATTCCTAGGAGATCTACCCTTGCCTCCCAAGGGAATTATCTCCCCAATTAATAAGTCACAGTGGCCAACCTGAATCCCTCACTCAGCATGGGATTAAAGTTACACACAGGTGGTCCCCAGGCCCCAGGCCTCTTTTTTGTTTTTCCAGGTGACTTCAGTATCCTGTGGCAGGCCCTTGGGGAGGTGAGGGTGGATTGGGGGAGATATTTTAGGGCAAATTGGCCACGGGGAGGAAGACCTATCCTGTGGACATTATGCAGGCTACTGCTAAGAATCCATTCCGGAAGCCAGGGAGGGGAATGGGTCATTGTTTATCACAGAATGAAGACCATCTGTGAGGGGAAAGTGTGCTTCTGGCTTCTTGGGTTGGCCAAGGACCCTCGGCTTTGTGGAGAGCCTGTTTCCTCTGCCAGACAAAGGTCGGCTCCCGCAGTGGTGGCATACGGTCTAGGATAACTTAGCTAATGAGCTACACAATGGAACTGGACCGCAGCTCAAAATGACAGCTTTCCTGACCAAATCTCTTTTCTGTGCACCTACCCCAGGAAGAGAAGAGGAGACCATTCCCGTAATCATTTCGCCCCACCAGACCATATTGGCTTCCCTGGGTAAGGCCAGCAAGGGTGCGTAACCCACGGGGGTGCCTGAAATCTCAAAGTCTGGGGTGCTGAGACCCCTGTGTCTGCCGACTGCGCCTGTCCCTTCGTGTGCAGTGTGCCTGGGTGGAGACCCTAGAACCCAGGATGAGAGGCGGAAATAACAAATGTGAGGGAACATCTCCCTGTGTCAGATGTTGCTGGAAATGGCATTGTTGGAAACAGGTGTACTTTGCTTCATTAAAAAACTACCTATGAAAATCTAAACGTAAAAAATCTGAACATTTTGGCGGCAGTTTTTAACTGTGGGGAAGGGTGGTGTGAGTCCCTCACAGAGCAGTGCCTGCAGTATATTGAAAATAATTCACTTTACCAAGCTTGGCTGCCCCTCAGCATTTCCCAAGACTCCATTGGTAAAATGAGACTGACCTGGCCACTGCCGGCCCCTCATAGATCATTTCTGTTGCCAAAATCACAGGGCAGCTGGTGGGGTGATGGAAATGATTGACAGGACTGTCCTTTCTCAGCCGTGTTGGTCCAGGCTATCTGGCGGCGTTCATGTCCTTAGTGAACATCAGTGCTCCTAGTGGGGTTCCCAGCATCAACCCTATAGAAAGGCCCCATTTCTCCCGCTTTCCAGAAGGAAAAGCTGCCCGGGGGTCATGGTGACTCAGGAATGGTCAGAAAGCTACACTCGGGTCAGGCTGGGCTGCAGACCTGGGCTGCAGGCTGTGTCTGTGAGGCCTGCACCTCTCAGAGCGGGTGTTGTACATGGTTTTGTAGGTTTATGCTCATTCATTAAACCCTGGCTGCAGAGTCCTGCCATCTCTCTCTCTCTGTTTCTTCTGTTTGGTGTTGGGCTTAGATTCAACATTGTAATTAGGCCGTAGAGAACTCATCGGGCGGAGTCACACGAGGCAGGATGCAGCGGGCTGAGGTTTTCGGTCCCCCGGGTGGTGAAGGAGGGAGGAAGACTGGCGTTCTGAGCCTGAGGTGGCACAGCACCCATGCTGAAGAACGAATGGGAAGGGTTGGCTCATCCTCCCCGCCCCCCTTCAGTAACTTAAAAAACATAACTTACAGTGACTGAGGCAGGAGCACCCGGGCCTTACGTTCTGTGGCTGTAGAAGGTGCCATTCATGTAAAAGACAGTCGACATGAGAGAGAGTCGACATGTGAATCTGGTTTTGGGGACAAGCAGAATCAGTTGGGAGAGAAGGCAGATGCCCTGTAGGAACTGAGTGGCCTTGGGAAGCCACGTGCCTCTGGGTTTTATCTGCCATCGAGATCCGTTGAAGGAACTGGAGACACTAGGTAATTACTGATGCTCTATGAGTGGAACCTTTTGAGGAACCTAGCTTCCTTCTAAGGAAAGAATTGGCTAGCGAAGGGTGTTTGAGGAGATGGGGAGGGATCCACCCACCGCTCAGATCACTGATGGGGAGGAGGGGATAGCCCTGTATCCAGCTGGTTCTGACGTCCATGCGTGTGTCCTGCTGTCCACAGGGTCAAGACTGACAATCCCATGCAAGGTGTTTCTGGGAGCTGGCACGCACTCGACCACCTTGCTGTGGTGGATGGCCAACAACACCAACATAGACAGTGCCTACCAGGACGGCCGTGTGACCGAGGGGCTGCGCCTGTGAGTGGGGGGAGCTGTTTGTCAGTTTGGGGGCGTCTCTGGGGACAGCTGCTGTGAGGCCTCCAGAGGCTTTCCTCATTTTTCAAAAGAGACAGTGTCACATCCAACCTCTCAATAGGACACACATAGCACATTCAAAATAATTTTTCTATTCTAAACTGTTGGATTTTTAGAATTTTAAAAATTGAGTTTTGCTCAGAATTACCATTTGTTCTTGAGAAGCAAACTTTCTAAATAAGAGCTGAGTTGCCGCCAACTACTTGTCATTGCGGTTGCATTATCTAGCTGTTTAATCGAATATTTGTTCCTTGATTTTTGCAATGAAAAATACTTTGGAGTTAATATGTTTCTGTTCCCCAGTCTGCAACCTGAGTGTCAGACGTTTTTACAAGCCTTCAAAAGATTCCAAAACTTACACAGTGCCCGAGAGACCCTCTGTTTCTCTGAGAGCTCTGGCTGCCCCAGGCGCCAAGGAAGGTTCATATTCTAAGCAGGAGAGAATTCTGTTCTCATAAGCACTCACCTCTGGAAGGTGCTTTCTCACTTTGAATGTAGAACAAGCAGACCTTGTAAATAGGAACCATTTATGTGTGAGGAAGGGAGAGCATTCAATGTTCCAAATTATAAATTATAATTTAAAAAATTATAGTGTCAATATTCTGAATTAGCCTGAACTTTGGCTTGTCAAATTTTTGACTTTTTTGAAAGACCTATCAAAAAGGGTCTTTCTGGATGCAATTGAGTGGGTAAAAGTTTTGTGTGGTTAGCACAGTTGTTTGCTTGCAAGTCTGTATGGTGAAACTAACCTGCCCCATGCCAGCTTGCTAATCCTGTCCATTTACTAAAGGAGCCTAGTTTTCCCCCCTAGATTAAAAAAAGTCCTCGTGGGCCCTCGTCAGGGACACTCGTATTCACAGTAGTCGACAGGAAAGCGCCTTCAGACTCCTGGAGCATCGCAGATGCTCTTATGCGGAGGGAGGGCTGGCAGTGCAGATGAGAGGAGGGGGCACCGTGAAAACCGGATTCCTGGAAACTCCCTGCCCTTCCATATGCAAATGACTTGTTGGTGCTGCAGTCAAGTTTCCCAAAATGACACATTTCTCTTCCCACTACTGGTTCTTTGTTCATTGAGGGCCTTAAAAAATGAAGATTTCCATTGTTTAAAGTGTCCTATTGTAACAAGTTTCCATTGTAACAAGTGTCCTATTACAGTGACCACCATCTTCAGTGTCACTCCTACCTTCAGAAACAAGCTTAGAAATTTCCCAAATAGCCCGGCCGGGCGTGGCTCAGGGGCTGAGCATCGACTTAGGATCCAGGAGATCGTGGTTCGATTCCCGGTCAAGGCCCATGCCAGGGTTGCTGGTCCGGGGCCTGCAGGAGGCGGCCGATCAATGACGACTCTCTCATCGTTGATGTTTCTATCTCTCTCTTTCCCTCTCCCTTCCTCGCCTGGATCCTAGGCTGACGCTCAACCACTGAGCCATGCCCGGCCGGGCAAGATATATATTTTTTTCAAAAAGTAATTTCCCAAATAAGTCACAAATATAACGGCAGTGCCCCTACTTTCTTAACCCTGCGATCAGCGTGAGCTCGGCGGGCTCTCCTGCACAGTGCGGACGCCTGCCGCGGGCAAGCGCTCTGCCGGGCCGCGTCTGAGCTCGCTTTCTCCCTCAGGGACTACTCGGAAAACAATGAGAACTACATCGAGGTGCCGCTGATTTTTGACCCAGTCGTGAGAGAGGACTTGACCACAGATTTTAAATGTGTTGTTCGCAATACCCTGAGTTTCCAGATGCTTCATACCACAGTCAAAGAAGGTATGTATTTCGGGGACGCGCATGGGAAAGCGTGTTGAACGCTCTCTGGGTACTGGGCGAGGCTGCCGGTCCCCCGAATCACTTAGCAAATCCCTCATGTTTCCTGTTAGTCGAACACTGAGAACGAATCTCTAATATTCTGTGATTTTTTTTTTTGGTAGGGTGGAGGCCAACTTTGGGAGATAATATTAAAATAAAAATTTAAATAGCAAGCAGATTTTTAGAAAGGAGATAAAGTGGCTCTGCGATAAATTCTAAGAAACCCCGTGTCCCCTTGTGGTTCTTCGTGGCTCAACAGGACCAGCTGTCCCTTGGGACCCTTTGAGAAGAGGGAGATGTTCTTTATCCCAAAGCTGAGAAACTTGACCCTCCAGGAGCCAGGAGACAACCAGGGCTCAGGGCAGCTTTGAGGCTCAAGTCATCAGTCAATAGGAAGGAAAGTGAGAGGCGAATCAACCCAGTGCCCACAGAGGGACATTTTAAAAAGAAGAAAGAAAAACCCAGGTTATCATTCTGACCAATTGACTTCTCAGCTGATGCTGAGCGGGAAGGGAGACAGGTGATGTGGTCCGTTGGCAGCCCCGGAAGATAGCAAGGGACCAGCCCCAGTCGGGCCCGTGGGGGCCCCCTCACGCCTCTGGGCAGCCTGAAGCTCAGCTGCACACAGACTGCTCCCCCGTCTCCACGTTTGCTGGGGTGGGGGTGGGGGGCAGTGCAGGCACACCTGTAACTGGAAAGCTGACGGGTCGGTGGAGTCTCAGGGCCCAGAAGGACAGAAAAGTCAGTGTGCCACCAGCATGACTCACTTGCGACACTCCTTGGAAACACAGGTCCCTGGGCTCACCCAGAGCTACCCTGTGGCGAGGCGGAAGATCACAACCGTTCAGGCTGCTTCATACTGAAGCTCCAGCACCGCTGTCCTCGGACGTGTGTGCAGAAGCGGGCGTTTCAGATCGTTTCCATGAGAGGGCTGGTGGCAGTGTAGACTTGGAGGATTCCGCGGGCGCAGATTCATGGCCCAGAGGAACCCGTGCTTGCCTGGCCTGATGCTGGGAGCCTTCAGGCATCCCTGTCATGTGAGCCGGGTCCGAAAGCTGGACCGGCCTTGACCGACCGCAGAGGACACGCAGGCGCATCCACACGGCCGCTCAGGAAGCTGAACGTCACTCTCTCGAGGCTGGGTTGGGCTTCAGGGTGTAAGAATGACCTGCAGAAAACAGTCTGAAATTGTGCTGGTTCCTGGATGCCCGTGGAACCCGGCTGTTCACCCACATGTCTGACAGCACCCGTGTTCTTGTGTTTACTTGTTAAGTTTCTTTCACAGCTTCTTCCTGTATTTTCATAGCACGGAGAAGCCACGGAGTGGAACGTGAGCTAGCGGCATCCAAGCAATAATCTCGACACTCAAAGCTTCCTTTCCAAAGCTTGCCTTCTCCCCTTTGTAACTGTATTGAGTCCTTACAACATCCGTTCTCATAGGAAATGGGCAGCTTTCCCCCCCATGTCACAGTCGGCTAGCTGAGACCTAACCAGGGGACACCTTGCTGCACACTGTTCGGAGGGCAAACAAAGTCGGACCCTCAGCACCTGCCCTCCACCCCCCGCCTTTCTTTCTGAAGTGTTGTCCTGCTTGGCTTGTTTCGCTGGGGCCACGTCCCAGTGTCCCTGGTCTTGGTGTCAGGAGCACACATTCTGAAACTCAGTGCACATTTATTAGGAAAATAGCCTCTGGGACTTTCTCCCTGTGGCCCGGAGCCTGCCCCCCCCCGTCGCTGGGAGAGAGCCTTTGACTGACACGACTGTTCTTCCCGCAGCCGCCACGTTCTCCTGGGGCATTGCCCTGGCGCCCTTGTCGCTGGTCTTCTTGGTTTTTGGGGGAATATGGCTGCACAGATGGAACAAACACAGACCTGGAAAGGCGTGTGGTCTGACTGCACTGGAGACCGGCGTCAAGATTTGCAGCCCTACCCAAGTAAAATAAAGGAAATAAAGTGATTCAAATACAAATGATATTCTCACGTAGGAAGGACCCTGCCCTTTTCCTTACTCGTGTAACAAAGCTGCTGTGTTTATAGAGGGCTTGTAGGGAAGTGTTAATGTAAAGTTTATTCTAAACTGAATGACAGGACACGTGTGGGTCAGCCGCGTGCTTTCCCACTTGCGACCCACTTAAAGGAGTGAGGGACCTTAGACCTGAAAAGAGTTAAAAACATGTAAATGAGTTAGAAATTCACTTATTTATTTAACAAACATATATTAAAAGTCTATTTCGGCTCTGCTCGATGGGAGGTGTTATAGACACAAAGGTAGTTCGGCCACAGTTCTCCTCTTTGGGAAGATGGAATTTCACTTTGAGACTGGAAAGGATGGTTTAGAAATGCTAAAGCATGAATTGGTGACATTTTAAAAAAGGAAGACTTAAAAAATAGCAATTAAAATAGAGTAGACTGTCAGAAAAATACACGTTAGAACTCATCAGTGAACTGAGAAATAGACTCAACTGCAAATAGAGCTTCTGAAAATAAAGACAGAGGGAGGGATATTGAGATACTTGCATACACATTGAAAAAAAGAATCAGAGCCTCATATCATATACCAAATACTTCCAATTTGATTATTTTATCTTTTTAAAAATTCTCACGGAGAATATGTTTCTATTGATGTTGGAGAGAGAGGAAGGGAGCACGAGAGAGAAACATCGATGTGAGGAGACGCTGATCGGCTGCCTCCTGTACGTGCCTGACGGGGGATCGAACCCTCAACCTTTTGGTGCTCGGGATGACACTCCATCTAACCGAGCCATCAGGCCAGGGCCAGTTAGATTATTTTTAAAACCGAAAGTTCAGGGAAATTAGCATGACTTACTCCTTTGCCCATTGGAACCTTTGTTCCGACGTGACCTCCCCGGAGCCCCTCTGAGCAGCGCCTTTCCCACCCGCCGCCCCACGCTGTTCCCAGCATCAGCTCCGTCGCACCAGACCCGCCGCCCTGTATTTCTTGCTTAATTTCCGTCTGCTTTCCCCACTGGGCGAGCGCTCCACGAGCGCCGAGGTGGTGTTTGGGTCATGGCTGTCTCCCCAGTGCCTGCCACATGCTGGGCATGTAATAAGCGTGTAGAACATGACACCAGGATGAATTCCCTCGTGTTCACCACCAAGGAGAGAATCACCGGAGTAAAGACCCACAGACTTGATGGTGTTACACTTTCTTCGTGAAAAATAATAAAAGCAAAATACAAAGGAAATTGTGTCAGTCAAATTCAAGGAATTAAAACTATAGCCTATAGAGTTATCCACACTTCAAAGAAAAGCATTATAATCCTAATAAATGAAAGAGCATGAGTAAGAAATATGCAGGATAAACACACATAAAAGAGCCATGGAAAATGATCTGTTTCAATAATAACCAGAGATGTAGATTAAACCGACACGGAGACGCCGGAGCACTCATACACCGTCAAGCTTTAAAAGGTGTTATCAAGCTCCTTTCAAAGCAGCCAGGCTCACACCCTGTAATCGCATTTATAATTTGGTCCTGGAAAGTAAAAATGCAGCCTGTGTCAGGCCCGTGGGCTGCTGCGTCCGGCATGCGCCTTCTTGCAAGAATCAAGTGTGGTTGGCATTTCTTCCCAAATCTGTTCAAGGATAGGAAGCTGGTGGCTTAAAATTGGCCAAGGTGGGAGCACTTACACCATAGAAATTGGCAAATGCACAAGTCAGCGCTCCCCTCCCCAGCACACCACTATAAGGGTCACAGAGATACCCAGTAATTCTACTTTTGGGAATTAACTTTAGGAAATAATAAAGGAAATAATTAGATATATGAAACAGCTTAGTGAAAGTCATTACCCTGCTGATGAAAAAATTATGCATCAATGATGCATTATAATTGTCAAGAGTGTGATATTTGAAAAATTCTATATTGTTTTATACAATTTATATGGTCACAAAATAGTAAAATTTGTTTGCAGCTAGGAAAAGAGAAGAAAGCAAGAATTCTGAGGACAGATTGCTGGGGTTCGATTCAAGCTCCACCATGTGGTGCCTCTGTGATCCTGGGAATGTCCTTTACTCTCGCAGTACCTCAGTCTTCTCATCTGAAAAGTGGGGATAATATCAGGAAAAATCCTAGGGTGCTAGTATTTAATAACCAAAAACATAGGAGGAATAGACAGAAATGAAAACAGTTGTGTTGTTTTAGACCAAAGGTTGACAAACTACCACCTTCTGCCCGAATCCGCCTGCGCTGCTTCTGTAAGGCCGGTTTCACAGAAGCCGTGTGCAGAGGCCTGTGCGCTGGGCCCTATGCCTGCCCTTCGAAGGCGATGAGCAGCGAGACAGCCAAGTCTGAACACTTGCTCTCTGGCCCTGCTTGGAAAACGCTCGCGGCCTGATGTTTAGACCAGGGATTATGGGCAGGTTCTGACCCTTCCCCTTATGTTTGCTGTGTATTATCTTCTCCCCGCTTCCTCACCTGCTTCTTAAGCATATAGGAGGGAGAAGGGAATAAGAAGGGGTGGCAGAGGCCTTTAGCATCAAATCAGGACCCGAAGCTGAGGAGGAGGCGGAGACGGTTCCTGCAGGAAGGACGTGCGGCTTTCAGGCTCCCAGCCCTCCCGGCCGCTGGCTCAGCTGGGGCCCGGCTCTCGCCCCCCTTCCTTCCTTCCTGGAACTCCCCCTCCCATGCTCTTCGGAGTTCCCCAGCTTCAGGTTTTGGCAGCTTCAGCAACGACCCAGAAAACAAGCTGAGAATAGCCAGTGACTTTCTGGGCTCCCTTGACTGCACCCCTAGCATTTCCTCCCACCACAACTCTCAAGTGTCGGTCACACTGCTGGACAGTGTGGGAGACGGGGGAGTTTTGGACACTGGATTTGTGATAATATAAAGGAACGTGTGATATAGGATGGTTCCATTTGGAAAACAGAGTTCTCTTTCTAAGAGGCGTATGGAAACTTTATGGCTGATAGTTGAGATTTGTGTCAGAATAATCCAGTGCTGGGTGGGAGAGTAGATGAAATAAGGCTGGCCAGGTGTTAACACTGGCAGTGAGTGCATGGGGTTCCTTAGACCATTCTCTTTATTTCTGTATATGTTTTAAAATGTCCATAACACAGAGGCGAAAACAACAACATAGAAACGACCCAAATACCCACCAGACAAGAGAATGGGAAGGAAAACTGAGGTGTAACAGCACCGTGGAACCTTATACAGGGGTGAGAATGAACAAACTACAGCTACAGGCAACGCGGGGTTAACCTCAGAGGTATGTTACTACACAAATAGCAAGTCCAGAAACATTTACTTATAGCATGGCGCCATTTTATACCGAATGAAAAACAACTGCAACTGAACTCTCTCTATATGCATACGCATAAATATACGTGTAACATATACATACACATATATACACGATTAACACCCATATATACACACGTATAACATACATATTCATATCCACATCTGCAGCATATATACATATACACATGCATAACACACACATATACATAAGTACAACACACACGTACAACATACACATTTGCACACATGCATATATAACACACACGCATAACATGTGCAACACACGTACACACGTACAACACACCTACATGTATAACACATGTACACAAATATACACATGTACAGCAGATACCTACGCATATACACATGCATAGCACGTACACATATACAAATGTATAGCACATGCATCTGCATACACACATGTATAACATATACACATGCACACATATAACACACATGTGTAACATACATGCCCATATATACACACATGACATACATGCTTACACATATTAATATATATACACACACACTGAAGAGCACATACGTGAAAACTGTATTTTAACTGTATATAGATGCATGTGTCTATTAAAGGTCACATGTATGATTTTAAGTGTTTAATTTGTCTCTATTTAAACAAAGTGGGAGAGTGAGAAACGCAAGGTGCAGGATGGTGACCACAGCCAGGGGCAGGTTGGGACAAGGGCGGGGGAGAAAGATGTACGTTTCCTCAGGTTCTAGATCTCCTGTTGGCTTGTGGGTTATTATTGTTTATTAGCAAACAGACCAAGCAACAGGTCACTGGACGACCAATGAAGGGGATGGGTCTTGAACCAAGAATTCTGGCTAATCTAATTCTGCACACCTGAGTCCAAGTTAAACAAAGAAACAAGGTGGTTTCTTTCCTCAGTGCAGCCAATCTCACCTCTTCTGTTGATTCGATTGGTTTCACTCTAGGAAGGTGAGTTTTTCACTCCCCCCGTAAAACTGGGGGTGGCACAGGGCAGTAAGTAGCGTTTGACGCCTCACGTCAATGCACTGCCTGCAGGGAAACCCCGTGTAATCAAACAGCACCTCTGGGGCATTCCCTGGGGGTGATCATGGGCACAAACCAGGCACCAGCAATAATCCGTGCAGTACAAATGGACTTGCTGTCTCGGGTATTTCACACGCTATGGGGACACACAGGAGGGGGATGGTATACTGACTGTGTGAACCTGCTCCCTGGGGCGGCCCCAGCACCCGCACGCTGCCCGGACACCTAGTAGGGGCTTTGGCAGTGTCTGCTGAGAGCGTAGATAAGCCGTGTGTTCCTTGGGACTCCCGGGCCTTGCCGGCCCGGACGGACGGTGGAGCCCATCAGTGGGCTCTTCTAAGCCTCCTGCTCCCAGGCTCGCGCTGGCTGTTTCCGCGACCCTGCCAGTAGCTCACTTAGACTCTGGCACGGGCCTCGTGCTTTTGTGGTTGTTTCCTGTTCTTGTCATCCCCACCCATGTCCTCTCCTCAGGGCTCCTTGTTGCTGCCATTGTCACCCCAAGGGGGCACTGTCCTGGGGTGTCCAGAGGACAAGAAGTCCAGCTGCCGCCCTGGGCTACAGCCTGGGTCACCCGTGGAGCCGGGGCCTCCCTGCCCCCCCCAGAGCTCCTCCTCCGTGCTGGCACCAGGCTGGCAGCCTGGCCCCGGCTCAGCCACGGGGTGTG